ACACGTCAGCAGAAGGCAGCATGGGGCGAAGGGGGAAGGTGACAGTTGGAAGGTGCTCTTTGTTTCGTGTGCGAATGCATGTTTCGTTTCCTTGCAGGTTGGATGCCCGAGCCAGCTGGGGTTACAGCCACAAGCTGGAGGTTATGCAGTTGGGCGGCTAAGTGCTGGTGGCAAGAGGACTGGGAGGATGGCCTTTCGCTTCGGTGGGAGACCATCGCCTCCAAGGGAAACCAGAGGTGTAGCAATAGGGGGAGTAGGCAGGTAATGATATAGGGGGTACGGGCGTTTTACTTGGCATTGTTTATATGTTTTGTAAATCTCATTTAATTGCTTCAAAGCTCGAGCAGCCGTGAGACAGCAGGCCATAACAGACACTAGGATGGGATGGAGGAGTTTGTGTAGAAGTGATGTGAGTGAGCCGAATGGGCTTATCAAGCACAAGGAGAAGTGAGGTCAATACCAAGTGGGGAGAAGTACCTATCTTAGAGAAGGAGGGACGAGGGAGTTATGAAGCAAGGAACACAAAGGCACTAAGATAGAGAGGGAAGGAAGTGCAGGGGTTCTGGAGGGAGGAGGGGGGAGAGCCATTGGGAGAGGAGCCAGGGCAGGACAAGGTAAGGGAATTTTCGACAATGTATAGAACGTTCCGTGATTGAAAAATAAGAAGAAATTGAAGGGTCGAAATAGTAGGAAAAATAATTTTCGACTAGGTAAAAGAGTGGCGTGTCGGATGATAAGGCCTAAACCGTACTAAGAGATTTAGATTGGGACAAAACGCAAAGGATTTGGCTCTAGATACCATGTTAAGGCTAAGAGTATGGTAGTCTTGGCTAGGAAGAGAGAAGGTGGGGCTCTGCAGCTGCGGTATCCTGGTAGTACAAAACCATCCACTGCCACCATCGCGGTTTTATCACGGTCGCGCCACCGCTGGCCATATCTCCCCGCTCGATCTGCTTCCAGAGCGCCTTGAGCCACTTCCATTGGTTGCCGCATGCGGTAGCGTTGCGGCACCAGTCCAGTGAGAGCCCTGCTTCCCCGTCATTTGCGTCAGCTCATCCTTTGTAAACCATCGCGCCGCCACCAAAACGGTCGATTCTTTCTCACACCACACCGAGGCAGGACCTTTGCTCAGGCTGGCGTCGACTGTCGCCTGGCTACGATCCTTCGCCTCAGCACGTGCTGTACCTTTAACAGAAGTCGTCTTGCTGGATTTGGATGTTCCTTTCTTACGACCCACGGTAGAAGCAGGGGCAGGCTCATCAGCGGGTCCGTTGTATTCGGCGTTACCGCACCACTGCGCCACAGGTTCTTCGCCATCCGACGCGGCGTCCTCGTCGTCATCGTCAGTGTCTTTGTCAACCTCGACCTCCTCGGTGTCGTAGTCGGTATTGACCTCGTGGATACTTGGACCAGTGGTGGGAGGCGGAGTGATAGTAGACTGCGCGGGCGTTTGTCCAACGTTGCGAAGAGGTCTAGCCGTAGGTCTCCCTGCAGCCAGCTCCGCCGTCATCCACTTTACATAGGCTAGATCTTCAGCCATCCTTGGAGCTTCATTTGCTGTGTTACGAATAGCAATGAATGAAGAATTACTGTGCACTCCTAACCGCAGCATGCAGTGAGGCACACAGTATCGAGAATGAATTAGAGGAGTCAGAGTTGACTCGAAGCGACGCAGACGGTTGGGATGGATCTTTACTGTCGGAGCAGACGGCATCAAGCAGCTGCAGGGAAGAGGGATTTGGCGGGAACAGTTTCGTAACTGTACGCGCCGCACGGTTGGGAATGAATTTGAATAAGGGAATGTACCCCTTAGAGTACATGGCTAGTTAGGTCGATTCGAAATCCCATGTGGTCATATTTATACTTTCTGTATTTGCATGTTTTTATCATCTCAAGCATTTTACATTCACTCTGCTATTGAGCTCAAGGGCCCACCACCACTACTCAGTTGTGTGCGAACCTTCCCGAGGAGATCCTAGGGTCGATAATTCTCTGATCGTAACATGCTGCACCAGTTTGAGAGTTACGCTTGCGGGCCATGATAGTTGCTCGTACGATGTCTGAGAAGATACAAATGCCTTCTGGATACATTTGTATGCAAGGTTGGGTTGACTTGGCGTAGCATTGGTTCGGCCATGGCAACCGTGAATGTGTCTGGGGATCGCTCAAAGTGTGGGGGTTGTCACTTTGCCGCGTGGCGCCTACTAGTGTCACGTTCATTGCTTGTGGAAGTCTGCACGTTCGTGCGCAGCGCACCAATGCCACATTACGAAACCAAGAAGGGATGATTGTCGGCCGCAAACATAGGGCAAACGGCTGCTCGTCAAAGGGAACCGTGTTAACGGGAGTTGTGTGTTGGCCCCGTCCTCGCTTGGGCAGAGCCGACTTCGTGGTCGGGTGTAGGGGTGCCGCCGACCTGCAGCACTGGGCGAGCTGGTTGGCGAGGAAGTCGACCTGCACGGGTGCCACTGCATGGGCGCCGACTTCAGGATGGCGCCGACTTCAGGGAGGTCGACCTGGGAAGTCGACCTGCGGAGGGCGTCGACTTGGTGACGCCAACTTGGGGCAGCCGACTTGGGTGGTCGGCTGACAGGACTGCTGGTCGACTTGGTTGGTCGACCAGGCCTGCTGGTCGACTTGGTGGTTGGTCGACCAGGCGTGATGTCGACCTGGTGGTCGACCGAACATGGTGGTCGACGAAGGAGGGGCCGACGTCGACTTCGACAGGAGGGATTCAGGACGCCGAGCAGCTGGGCGTCGAGTAGCAGGGCGTCAACTTGGTGACGCCGACTTCGGGTAGCCGACTTGGGTTCGGCTAACAACTGTGCTGGTCGACGAGGAGCTGGTCGACTCGGAGTGACATCGACCTGGAGCTGGTCGACCGGGGGTAGTGGTCGACCTGGTGAGATCGACGAGAGGTGGCCGTCAACTTGGGTGGTCGACGGGCACGCGCAGGAGCAGCTGGTCGACGTGGTTGCCCGGTCGACCAGGTTTCCTGGGTGACGAGGTTCTGCGAAGGCACGCGACGGTCGCCCAGGCGATGTTGGCGAGGACGACCTCGGTGGTGGTATCCCGAGGTCGACGTGGCTGATCAGAAGCAGTCGTCAGCACGAAGTTGACTTGGCGTATGCGTTGTGCAGGTGACGAGGCACTGCACGCCAATCATCTGCGAGCACCTGCGAAGCGGGTGCGCTGCTGTCCTGTGGGAGCAACGTTGGCACACCATCAACCTGCGACGTTGGCACGCCGTCGACTTGCAGCATTGGCAAGCCGCGACTCTGCACTGCTGGAGCGCGGTCGACCAAGTCGTGCTGGCACGCGGTCGACCATGCTGCGCTGGCAGTAGACTTGCTTGCATGCTAGCTCTGATGTAGTCTAGTCTTGCCAACTTCATTGTACCATTGTTGTCAACCTTTCCTAGTGAAACTCTTGCCAATTCTTCCCGTGAACTAGCAAGTAGTGTGAACACTTGGAAACGACTAAGGGACGAACGAACGCAGAAATCACACGAGCACCCGTGCCTAGCCCGTAGTCTAGCTCTCGTTGTAGTAGTTATCTCATTCTGCACGTTCGAGCGATGTTGTGCGAGCGATATGATTGGTGCGCTGATTCGGTACAATCCTGATACGAGGTGTTTTATAACGTGAAGTTTGAGAATTTTCATTACTGATAGGAGGTTAGCCCGCTCTTAGGCTACAATGAGGTGCTTCTCAGAGGGTACAACAACCCCTTTTAAGGTTCCATACCGGTATTTGTATCCCCATCCTTCCTAGTTCATCCAGTCCGCTACTTTGACAGTTACGTCCTCTAGAAATATGGGGTGGGGAGACACTTGCAATAGGAACAATGATAGTGTTGGCGCCAGCAAGGCATGGACTGCATTATTTTGATGCTGGTATATGTCAAGAGTTGGGTTGAGAAATGTACAGATAAACTACCACCATCCTACTCTCATAAGGCAACCTCTTATGTACAGTACTTTATACAAGGCGACTACCAACCTAGCACATGGGCCTACCGAAAATAGGCAACACCTCAGTACCATGAACTCACCACAATCATGTACTGTATACACCTTGTGGCAAGTCTCGTTGGTTGCCAATGTGCAGCATGCAGACACTTGTACAGTAACTACCTTCCGTTACAACTACCGGATACTACCCCTAAGTGTCCTGCCTAAGCACCGGAGCAGTATTCTATTACACCTACTTTTCCCCAGTTTACGGCTGCTGCTGCCGCTGCTGCTGCTGCAGCTGTGCCATGTGTCTCTCTTGCTGCACTGCAATCCCACCTGGCTGCAAGCTCTCCCTCTCTTGAAGCACTAACGCACCACCCTGCCCGCCCCCACCGCCCTCCAGAGTCTTGTGTCTCCACCTCCAGCACGGCCCATCCCCTTCTGCTCGCTGCACCCGTGTCTGAGAACCGCCTTGCAGCCCCCGGCCGCGACGGCCTCGCACGCACACGCCCTGCCTCCCTCTCCCCCATGTCCCTCACCCCCGCCTCCCTCTCCCTCGTCCCACCCATAGACTTGGACCTCCCCAGCACCACGCCCGCCCCTGCGCCTGCTCGCCTGCCTGAGCCCCACTCGCGGCCCCCCTGAGCCCTGGAGGTCCCTGCTGCTACCGTGGCAGCAGCTGATGAAGCAGCTGCAGCGGGCCCAGCACCTGCATTGGCGACTGCCATGGGAGGAAAGGCACGCGGAGCAGCACCTGACAAAATATCCCCCCGACGGCGCTGGAATAGGGCAGGCGATGCGGAGTGGCCTGTGGGCCAGGGAGGCAAGCCAGCACGGGAAGCGACACCTGAAGCAGCACCGGGTGCCGAGGGCACGTGGTGCAGATGGAGTGGGGGTTGATTACGGCCCGCTGTGTGCTGCAATGAATGTAAACGGCCCACAGGAGCACCAGCTGCTGCTGATGCACCTGCTGTCCGGCCTGCATATCCGGCCGCCCCTTCTTGCCGTACAATGTAGTTCCCCCAAGCCCCAGCAGCACGGTGACTCATGGCGTCATTGCCCACAGCTGCACTGGTGTGGTGACGAAGTACAGCACCGTCATTCCCGTTGGTGCCCTGACTGCCATAGTAGGAGGCAGAGGGCAGCACGTGGGGCAGGCTAGCGGCGTCAACGAACACGTTGAGCTCGCCGCCTGGAGGCACGGCAACAGCGGAAAGGGAGAAGTGGTGGGGGAGCGGCTGTGCGCTGTCACCCTCGCCCATGTCGTCGTCCGTGCCGCCCTCCGACAGGCTGAACGACTCGTCACTCGCCACCGACCCCTCCTGGTGGCCAACGAGTTTGCAAGAGGGGACACGCGGCACGAGAAATCAAGGGGAATGATCAGGTCAGTCTCAAGTTCATGGCCATCATATCAAGAGTGCCGTGCTGCGTTACAGGCTACCTTCCTGACAGAAATCATGACCATCGTATGGAACTACACCTTGCCCTTTAGTTCCCTCCTTGAACGCATCCGCCTCCTCATCCTCATCGTTCTCACCAAAATGCTTACAGCCTCATTGCTTACATCGCATCCCATATTCTCTTGCATGGAAACAGATATATGATTTCAAAGCAACAGGCACAGCCATGTGGAACTCATACAGGCACATCTCGCAACCAAGCCCAACGGCCTCTCCAGTGGACCAATGCTCACCTCCTCATCCCCTCACCTCCTCATCCCCTCACCTACTCATCCCCTCACCTCCTCGTCCCCTCACCTCCTCGTCCCCTCACCTCCTCGTCCCCTCACCTCCTCGTCCCCTCACCTCCTCGTCCCCTCACCTCCTCGTCCGCTCACCTCCTCATGCCCTCACCTCCTCATCCCCTCACCTCCTCATCTCTAGTAGACCAACGCTCACCTCCTCATCGTGCTCGGAGCCTTTGGAGGAGAAGGCAGCGTTGGAGCTGACGTCAGCAGCATCCCGCATGTGCTCCTCGTCGTCATCGCTGTCCGACGCCGCCACGTGCTCTGATACCTGTGGCTCGACGGGACGGGGGGGGGGGAGGGGAAGGGCTATGCAAAACACATGCTGACACTGTCTGATACCTGTGGCTTGACGGGAGGGGCGGGGCGGGAAACGTGGAGCACACTTCAATGAATGGTGCCTGCTTGTCCACTCGCTTTCTCCTCATCTGCTGTCTCAATGTTGCCGGCACTTTCCGATGCTGCCTCGTGGTCCAATACCTGTGGCTCGTGATATCAGGGGCAGGGCAGGGGCTCATGTAGCGCACAGTCAGATGGATGGTGCCTGCTTGTCCACTCACTTGCTCCCCATGTGCTGCCTCATCATCGTCGGCACTGACTGACGCTGTCACTGGGGGGAGGAGTGAGGAGAGAGGAGAGAAGAGAGATGGAGGGAGGAGAAAGAAGAAATGAGAGAGGAAAGAGAAGAGAGGAAAGAGAAGAGAGGTCAGAGAAGAGAAGTCAGAGAAGAGAGGTCAGAGAAGAGAGGTCAGAGAAGAGAGGTCAGAGAAGAGAGGTCAGAGAAGAGAGGTCAGAGAAGAGAGGTCAGAGAAGAGAGGTCAGAGAAGAGAGGTCAGAGAAGAGAGGTCAGAGAAGAGAGGTCAGAGAAGAGAGGTCAGAGAAGAGAGGTCAGAGAGCGATGGGAACCTAGTCCCAGCCCCCTTCCCTCTGCCATCTGCCCTCCTTCCCCAGCTATATAAGGGCCGACTGGGCCCTCCTCTTCTCATTATTTCGTTTTGGTTCAGGACAACGGCGTAGAGAGCGATGGGAACCTAGTCCCAGCCCCCTTCCCTCTGCCCTCTGCCCTCCTTCCCCAGCTATATAAGGGCCGCCTGGGCCCTCCTCTTCTCATTATTTCGTTTTGGTTCAGGACAACGGCGTAGAGAGCGATGGGAACCTAGTCCCAGCCCCCTTCCCTCTGCCCTCTGCCCTCCTTCCCCAGCTATATAAGGGCCGCCTGGGCCCTCCTCTTCTCATTATTTCGTTTTGGTTCAGGACAACGGCGTAGAGAGCGATGGGAACCTAGTCCCAGTCCCAGCCCCCTTCCCGCGTTAGGGAATGACGATACCACAATAACAACTAGGTGTGCGTAGGCAAGCAGACAAGAGATAGATTAGGATGACATGGCAACCAACACAGTGCCTACTGCACTATGCTACCGCAGACGCACGCGGCCTACAACCACCGCGTCACTCCCGTCCATTCTAGCAGCCGCATCGTCAAACCGTCACCAAGACGGAGCGCTGACACGAGCCCGTCTATCACGTCTACAGCTGAGCGTGACTGCACTCGGGAGCCCACGCCTTCCATCTCGACGGCCGCCCCCGCTTCTCGGGGCTCCCCTTCGGGCTCTTCCCCAGCAAACTCCATCTCATGGCGGAGAAGCCACGCACCGTCCCGACTGGCCAGCAACTGCGCATGGCCCATCATGCACGCCGCCAGAGGCACGTGGCTCAGGGACACAGCAGCATTCTCCAGCATTGCTCCCACAACGGCATAGTAAGTGCGCATATGCCACAGGCGCACGAGCAGCTGGGTCTCAACCTCCAACGCGCGGGGAGCCCCTCCGCCACGACGGGACAACCGATCCAGCACAACGCGGCTGCCCACCCGCAACCCACCGGAGTGGCGGCGCATGGGAGAGCGCCGTGATCGAGGCTCAGTGGACACCCCTCCACCCGCCGCTGTCGCCGCTGCTGCTGCCTCCCCCCTCGCTGGGAGCCCGTGGGAGCCGGCTGGAGGCGCCTGCGGAGGAGGCGCAATCCCCAGGGGTGGCCCCATCACAGGCGGCTCGGTCCGCGCGTCAATCCCCGGCTCCCCTAGCGGCTGGAACACAGGAGCCCCTCCAGTCGGGGGGACGCGCCACACCCCCGGGACCGCGTGGGGAGGGAGACGCACCACCATCGGTGGTTCTGGCTGCGCAAGAGGGGGCGGCTGAGGAGGAAACGCAGGGGGATGCGGGAGGGACCGCGGGAACGCCGCCACCTCAAGAGAGGATGTCGGGAGCACATTCGCAGGGGGGCCAACTGGCGGAGGCGGATGAGGATGGAGATCCAGAGGAGGGGGGAGCTGATCAACCGTGGGCACTACAGGAGCCGTCGGCCTGCCGAGTTCGCGTATCATACTGCCCAACGGCGCCAGAGCGCGCTCAACAGCCGCAGTTGCTGCCGCGGTCGCCGCTTCGGCTGCAGGGTCCGGCTGCCGGGCCCTCGGCGCCCATCGACCACGGCCTGAACGCCGCGAACGGGACTGACCACCCCCGCCTCCGCGATTGCGCGCAGGAGGAGACGAGCGCTGAGGAGACGTCGGGCGCGAGGAGACACGACGGGGAGATTCCGCCTGAGGAGAACGGCACCGCGGAGACGACGCCCGACTGCGCGAACCGCGCTCCATCGCGGGCCACAGAGCAGGAGACGGAGACGGAAGCCGCGTCGGCGGCGGATCCCGCCGCTCGCCGTGCAAACGTGACGGCGAACGCTCGCGGCCGCGAGCTCGCGACCCCGCCATCGTCAGGCAGGGGGCAGGGTCGTCAATGGTGGACTCCGGCCGCTCGCTCCGCGCCGCACCAAGATGTGGCCACTCCAGAGCTGCGTCCGGCGTCAGCGACAGAACGAAGGAGCGGAGGACGCGGTAGCGCAGATGCAACCAGACGGCGCGGACGCGCTCGTGGCACTTCGGACGGTCGGAGTGGTGGTGGCAGCTTCGTGGGAGCTGTGCACAGACTACTAAGGCAGGAAACTGGTCAGAGGGGGGGCGCCACAGGGGAGAACGTGCGAGAGGAGAACGTGAACATTGCAAATGACGACTCAGATCCGGGTGACCCCACCTTTATCCCTGAAATGGAGGGGAGACCAGAGCCCTCGACAGAGGATGAGTTTGAGAGGGCAGATGGGGAAGGTCATCAAATTTCAACCGGAACACCAGGCCGAGCCGCAAGACCACGGACCCAACCCTCCCCCGCTCGAGACGCCAATGCCAACACAGGCAACATTGGCAACATTGGAAGGGTTGTGGCGCCGGAAAGAACCCCAAATCCGCTTCTGTCCCCTCGCCAACTGGCTGAGGCCTCAGCGAAATTCGCTGACATTGCCACGTGGGACACCCAGCTGCTCCGCGATCCCCGTCAACCACCCCTGGCATGATATTTCCCTCGCAGCATCCGCGACACATTCGCCACATGCCTTCTGACTCCCCTTCTCCGATTGGCCCGCGATCCTGACTCCACGGAGGCATGGTCACTGCTGCTCTTCCTCCCCCGCTTGACTTTGCGTGCATCCTCAACAAGGAAGCCAGATTGGCACGCGATCTCTACACGCCTGCTCCAGTTTCGCCAAGGTCACTGGCGCGAACTCTACGAAGCAGCGTGTGAGGCAGTCAACCTCGATCCTTCCCCACGCCACGTGGCGGACGACCTGGGGAAACTGGCACGATCGACGGCCCTAGCAAAACGCGGAAGCCTTGCGAAATCCCTCCAGGCACTCGAAAGCACACCTGTTAGCGAGGCGAACCCGCACAAGCTGGCAGCTCTCCAGTCCCACCACCCGTCAAGCAGCGTAGGCCTTCCTGCATGGCTCCCCTCCTTCGAGACAACTGCCTCCCCCGCCATCACAATCCAGGACCTTCGGCGCATCCTTTCCTCGTGCAAGAATGGCGTGGGCGCAGGGCCCAGCGGGATGACGTTCGAGCACCTCCGCGAGGCCGCACTCCGCAGCCCTGACGTAGCCGAGCATCTTCTGGCGCTTATCAACACCGGCCTGGCAGGGAAGCTACCTAGCCCCGTTGCTGGGCTGCTAACCGCCTCACGTCTACTCGCATTCTCCAAGCCGGACGGCGGAACACGCCCCATCGCCGTCGGCAAGGTCCTACACCGCCTCATCGCCAAAGCCGCCCTCCTCCTCGCCGCTCCCTACGCTCGCCGCCACTTCGCGCCTCTGCAATACGGCGTTGCGACACCGGGCGGTGCGGAGGCTATCATCCACGCAACCCGTACCTACCTGGAGGAGAACCCCGACCACCTGGCTCTCCAGCTCGACATCTGCAAAGCCTTCAACGTGGTCGAGCGCCAGGCGGTCTTCGAGGGCCTCCGTGACACGCCCCTCGCGTTCCTCATCCCATTCACCCGCACCTCGTATGGCGCGCAGTCCTCCCTCTTCATCGATCGCGCCTTCAACGCCCCCGACCTCAAGTCCTCGAGAGGGGTCCGACAAGGCGACCCCATGGGCCCCCTCCTTTTCGCCGCCGCTCTTCACCCCGCCCTGAAGGCGGCCGCCGCGGAGCACCCAACAATCGTCGTGCTAGCATATGCCGACGACGTGACACTGTTAGGACCCCGCGCCGACTGCACAAACTTTCAATTCACTCACCTCCGCCATTGAGCCGCTGGGCTTGATCCACAACCCATCGAAATGCGCTGCCTGGACACCTGCAGCGGGCCCACTGCCTCACCTCCCACACGGCGTCCCCTACTCGGTCTCCGGCTTAAAAGTCCTGGGCAGCCCTGTGGGACCAGCAGCAGCTTGCGTCGCTTTCCTCCGCGACCGCCTCGCAACGGCCGTGTCTCCCTCTGCGCTCCTGTGTCAGCTGGACCCCGAGACCTGCCTCTTACCTCACAAGGTGCATCAGCCGCCGCGTGTCATACCTGCTGCGCTCGACGCCACCTGAGCTCCTGCCCGAGGAGGAGTGGTCAGAGTGGGGGGAAGGCAACTACCGTACCTACCTCTCCTCCGCCTCTATTCCAGAGCCGCGGCTTCGGACCGAGCAGCTAAGCACGTGGCGGCAAGCCTCACTCCCTGTCACGCTAGGAGGCCTCAACCTCACCGACCCCGCAGTGGAACGCTTCCCAAGTTACCTTGCTTCCACCGCGGCATCTGTGCATCTTCTCGGCCGACCGGCGACGAGCTCCCATCCGAACATCGCCACTCTCCTCCCCCTCTTCTCCGCGGACGACACCAGCAGCTCCGCCCTCCCACGTCGACTAGCAGTTGCGGAAGGAGCAGTGCCGCACGAAGGCCTAGCCCTCCTCCCCCGCTTACGGGAGGGAGAGGATCTGAACAAGATCCAGCGCTCTCTGTCCCTACACGTCCAAGCGGAGCGGTATGCCGCAATCCTCCACGAGAGCCGAAGCCTCCCCCTCAACCCCCTTTTTGGCCACACCCAACGCCTCCAATCCCTCCTAGGCCCGGGTGCAGGGGACTGGCTCTCTGCTATCCCGCTCACCCCATCTCTCACCCTGTCGCCGCCCCACCACGCCTCCGCATCTGCATTCCGCCTGGGGCTGCCACAACTTGTGCCTGGCAACTGCGACTGTGACAAGCAAGTCGAAATCCTGGACCCACGCCTACCTAACCACCTCCTCCGATGCGGAACGGGGAAGGGCCGCACTGGCACTCACAATGCCCTCCGCGATGAGTGCGCGCGCATCGCGACTGAGGCAGGGTTGAAGGGCTGAAGGCGGATCTCGCCCTTCGGCACCCGGACACGTCAGCAGTCTGGCTATGCGATATCACCGTCACCGACCCTATCTCCAGCCAGGACCCGCACGCCAGGAGAGCGCCCGGCTGGGCGGCAGCCGTGGCAGCCTGGGGAAAAGAACACAAGTACCGCAACCGAGCGCCGTGGGTCGGCTTCCTTGCGATGGCTGTAGAGACGTACGGGCACTGCTCTCCAGGGGTGCTTGAGTTCCTCCGCTTGTGCGCAAACCTTGTGGCCAAGCACCTTCATAACGCCGAGCCCGCCTCGAGGGAGGCGGCGAAGATCTATCATTCCTACCGGCAGCGTTGGTCCATCACCCTCCAACACGCGCAAGCATCAGCACTAGCTGCCAAGACACTGACGGCGTTTGAGGCCGGGTCAGCCCCCACCATCACCGAGGGGGAGCCCTATGCACAGGCGACCTCATGCACGTTCTCGAGCCCGAGCTCGAGATGCCCTAGATTGCCCTGCCCCGCTTGTATGGCTGTGTGTTTTTTTTTTTTTTTTTTTTTTTTTTTTTTTTTTTTTGTAAGTATACATGGTGTAGTTGGTGCATACAAACAATATCGGTCGTAACCGCTTTAAGTGAGGGCAGGGCCGTCTGCCCCAGCGGGTGTCTACGGCGGGTTGTAAACTGTCTTAGGATTGGACCAGATGGACTCGAAGGATCTTGTCCAGGTCCACTTCTTGTCGTCAGCTTTCCTTATCCTGCTTAACAGGCGGTGCTCCTCCAGTAATTCCTTTTGGAGCTTGCCAGCTCGCGCCGTGTTCTTTCTTTTCTGCCACGTGGAGTGGCGTGCCTTCTCATAGACCCGTGCATGCTGCCTGAAGGCGAAGATAATCCTCCTCAGCACTCTCCGAGCACGAAACTTCTTCCCCCGGAAGACCGCCTCGCATCTCTCCAGCCAGAGCTGGTGCAGCGTAATTGCAATCAATGTCGCCTCAGGAAAAGCAGTGCGCGAACCAGCCTTGCGGAACAGCAGATCCCCCGGAGACTCTGTTTCGCGGAGCGGGTTGATGAGGCGGAGCGATCTCTTCAGCACCGACACCACCACCTGAATTCTCGGGCAGGTGAACAGACAATGTTCCAGTGTCTCCTCATCCCCGCAGTGTGGACACATTGGTTTGTCCGCCAGAAAAGCCAATCTCTCCCCCACTTGAAGATTGAAATTGTACACCCGTGTCAACATGTCCCTCGGTCGGTTGGGTGTGGCAAGTGATTCTCTGATGCCCGTGATCAACCTCCAGTTTATAGAGCCCTTCCACTTGCCGGCCCATCTCAGCATCCTGTGTGACTGCCCGCGCTGCCCCTTCCAGTGGCTCCTCATCTCCTTGAGCGGAACCACCCCCCCGTCTCTCAAGATTGGCAGCTGCGGGAGTCATCTCCAATCTCCCGGGGGTGAACCAGCCGAGCTTGCAGCAGGGGTCAGCAAGCAGGTTCTCCATTCCTCAGGCGCTGCTGTGAAACCCCTCAGTGCAAGTCTAGCCGGCCCCTTGCCTCCTAGCCTCGCTGTGAGCTCCTCCATGGTTTTCAGCGTCCAGCTACCGTCCTGCAGTCGCTTCACCATGTCTCCCAGCCGAAAATTCCAGAGTGGTTCTGTATCTTTCTATCCTCCCACGGGCGTAGCTATTCCGACCATGATCGCCCTGTTGAACACTAGCCTTTCCTCCGCGACTGCTTCCCGCGTCACGTTAACCGTTTTGATGCAGAGCGGCGACTTCATGAAAGTTTCGCACGTCTGCTTCCACCTCTGACTTCTCCCTTCCCAGTGTCGCAGGAGGCGGTCATGTGACATGAAAGTGTCCAGCCCCAGCGGGAGATCTACCGCTTGAATCATTAATTTCCGCTTCAACTGGCTCGTCTCTGTCATCATCAGTCCAACTCTCCTCGCGGCCAAACATGCGAGCGTGATGCTTGGGTCCCTCACCCCCAAGCCACCCTCACTCCGGGGGGTGTACAACAGCTCCTTCCTCCAGAGAAAGAACCCCCGCGTCGATGTCGCTTTGTTCCCCAAGACAAAATTGTGAATCATTCTCTCCAGCTCCCCCCATATCTTCGCAGGTGGCCGGTAAACCTGCGCCTGGAAAGTCATAATCGGCTGGATGTAGTCGTTCGCCACCGCTCCCCTTGCTTTCTCTGTGAGGTATTTTTGCCTCCATTTCACCAGCCTTTTCGAAATCTCCTCCAGAGCCTTCTCCCAGGTGGGGAGCCCGCTACCGTCTGGTGTTACCCATACACCCAGCAGTCTCTCCGCGTCGTCCGGTTCCGCCCACTTGAAGGTGCTGCTCGTCGGCGCCTTGTAACCGCGGTTCCGACCGAGTGGTAAGACGACCGTTTTTTCCACATTTATGCACAGTCCCGATTTCTTCGCGAACTTTGTGAAGATGCCCTCCGCCCTAACAATCTGCTGCTTCCCTTGCAGAGTCAGCGTGGTATCATCCGCATACCCGAGGTACGACAGCCTCTCCCCGCCAATTTCCAGCCCCAGCTTTTTCCGCTCCACATCCTGCACCAGCGGTTCCACTGCGCACAGGAACAGGTACGGGGCTAAAGGGCACCCTTGGCGAACTCCTGACACCACCTCAATGCCATCACCCAACTAGCCGTTGAGCAACATCTTCGTTGTAGTGTGTGAGTGCAGGCCTTCAACCCACGACACAAAACGCTCCGGGAAGCCCATGCGCCTCAACACTTGGAAGATGAAGCCTCTTGACACGGAGTCGAAAGCTTTTTGGAAATCGACAAGCAGCAGGAACCAGTCTTCACTCTTGTTCTTTGCCGCATCGATGATCTCTGCGACCAGCGCGACCCCGTCTGTGAGCCTTCTCCCGGGAATGAAACCATATTGATCCGGGGAGATCACCCGATGCAACACCTTTTTCATCCGTTTTGCCAACACCTTGGCCAGAATTTTGTACGTGAAATTCAGCAGCGTGATCGGCCGATAGTTCCCCAGCTGATCCTTGTCCCCTTTTTTGTGCAGGAGAATCGTTACAGCACCCTTCACCGCATCGGGGAGAGCCGCCGTCTCCGAGAAATCTTTGACCAGTGCCATGAAGCTCTTCCCCAGAAGGTCCCAGTTGGCCTCGAAGAACTCTTTTGGCATGCCGTCACTGCCCGGCGACTTGTTTTTCGCCAGTGACGCGAAAGCAGCCTGCACCTCCTCCTCTGTCCAGTCTGCATCAAGTCCCACTGCTTCTCCAGTTCCCAGCTGTCTGTCTCTCACAGGCCACCAGTCACTGAAATCAAGCCTCTTGTCCTTCCCGAAAATCCCTTTGAAATAATCTGAGGCTGCTGTGAGTATCTCTCGCGCACCCGACAATGAGGTCCCTCCGACGCTAACCTCTGTTATCATTGTCCTGCTTTTCCGCGTTTTGGTCAGGGCCGACAACTGCTTCCCGGTGACCTCCCCAGTGAGTTCCATGTCCAGGCCCGCCATCAGGTGCTGCCGGTCGCGCTTGTTAGACAGGTATTCTTTCAGCGACCCTTCTTTTTCCTCCAAAAGACCGCGCAGACGACTACAACTCGGATCAGCCATCACTGCCTGGCGAAGGGCTGCCACAGCCGACATCAGGTGAGTGAACGTCGCGCGAACACGTTTACTCTCCTCCCTTGTATGCGCACGCAGACGCACGTTAAGCCTTGCCAGCAGCAGTTCGAAAATCTTACCATCTGTTACCTGTATTTTAGATAGTACCTCTTCAATAATCCGTCGCACACCGGGTCTGTTTACCATTGCAGCCTGCATCCTCCAGATACCTGGACCCAGACGCGCCTTGGTGTCTACCTTCAGGGTAACCTGAACCGCGAAACCATGATCCGAGATCTTGTCAGCGGGAGTGATGTGTGCAGAGTCAGCAAGAAAAGGTAAGAGCGAGAGGGAGATCAGGGCTCTGTCAATGCGGGAGCTAGCGTTCTGTGACGGTGAGTAGAAGGTGAATTCTCTGCTGCGCGGGTAGAGCGTGCGAAAGGCATCGGAGAGTTGGAAGGCCTGACATCGGTTGAAAAGCCTGTCATTTTCAGCTGATGTACCATGGCCTGACGTGCGATCAAGATCTGGATCTTCCACCATGTTCAGATCGCCGATGATCAGGAGATGAGAGCTCGGTGCTACCTGATCAACGACCGGTCCAAGGGTGTGGAGGACGAAAGGGGTTTTGTGAGCTAGGTCGGCTGGAAGGTAGACTGCAAGAAGAGTGAACTGGATGCCGTGACCGTGGACATCAGTACAGATGATACGGCCTGAAGCGTGAGGTGATGTGTTTGAGAAGGTTAGAGCGGGGTTTCTGCAAAGAATGGCGACCCCGCCTGCTTTTACTTTGGGTGTGGCCGCTGCGACTGTCTGGAAGCGCTAAGAAGACTAGTAAGGGTGAGAATCTACTAATCTAGTGTCTGTAAGTACCACTATATCTGCTGCATCCTTTAACCACTCTGTGACCCTATCTTGCTTAACGCCGTCTCCTAAGCCGTTGACATTGAGACCGGCGACAGAGAGGAGGTTTTTCTTGCTAATCATTTAATCACTACCTTGCAGCCCTTCGACATCCACAGGCTGATAAAAGCAATGGTACAAGCTACACTGACTACCGAACAGATACGAGCTGCAGTTGCGAGGGTGGAGTTCAGAGCCGTAGTCTTTCTTGATAACCGCAAGGCTGATCCTCTCGAGCGAGGTCTTTGTTGCTGTGCCTGTCTTCTCCAAGTTGGTCAGGTGAGCCGCTGAGATGATATGGTCGGAGGCTGACATGAAGCATTTGCTGTGAGCTTTCATGCAGCCGGCCTGAGTACACAGCCACTCCTCCCTGTTGCTTCCCGTAGAAATCAGAGCCAAAGCAGGATCTTGCAGCAGGGGAAGGATCAGCGACGAGGCCGGCAGAGAGGCAGCTGCAACAGTCAGGCGAAAGGTTAGTATGCAGTAAGGTAAAGGAAATTGAGAGCTTGTTAGTGAGAGAGCGGGGCCGGGATCTATTACCGTTGAGCCTGTGCGCTTTACCCAGGGTCAGGTTCCATTTCCCTACGTTAGTTTGGCGTTCAGTGACAAAAGCATTATGATACTTATCATAGTGCTGACCACCATAGAGCGCGCAAGCTAGCGAAGGATAATGGACCATGAGCCTGTTCGCGTTGTTAGCAGGGTCGGCGATCGCGTGGAGCCAGCGGTGCTTGTCACCAGGGTGAGCGTAAACCAGACCCTTGACGATGTCCGTATCAACGCCAGTGACCGGGTGGAGCACGCGGTGGAAATTGGAGCTGCGCAGGAACGCAGGCCTCCTGCGGCTGGTAAGAGGGTACGTAGACAACCTCCTTGTGATCATGTCCAGCTCCACTGTGGCCGCAACTCCCTTGATGATTACTTCAATAGCATCCGGATGGAAGGCTTTCTCCCTTGAAAAAGTCGTGTCCTCTGTGTGTTGCCAGTGCTGGGTGACCAGGTCCCCTTTCAGCCGCTGGTACATCACATCCTTGCGCTTCACCACTTCCGCATCTGATTCCAGGACGAAGGAGACTTGAATCCTGCAGAAGCACTCCTTGGCGAAGTAAGCAGCACGTAACTCCTGGAACTTTATAGAAGGCGTAGAAGCTTCTGCTGAAAGTTCTGCATTCCACCCCCGTTTAATCAGCATACGAATAGCAATGATAATGCCTGAAATTTCCTTGAGCAGAGCAAACGGAATAAGCAGAATGATAGCGGTACGAAGACGACATTCTGCTTCCAGGGACAGATCCATCTCCATTTCGTCATCCGAATCTTCAATGAAGCCATCGTCGTCAACAGGTGAGTCGTCGGCGACAGCCTTCCCTTTGGTCGCATTATCCGCAGCCTTATCAGCGACGGAGAGACCAGATCCGCTAGCCGTAGCAGGATCATTAACTGCAGCATTTGAATCTTCCTTGTTCGGCGACAGTGCAGGAGCATCCGGGCTGTTAGCACCGGTGTCAACCACAGGAGGAGCAGGAGGGTCCGTATTGGTCTTGGAGCGCGAGCCCTTAGGCGGAGCCATGGTGTGATGATGAGGAAAAAGCAGCTCTGCCTTGTGCTGAGCAAACCAAGAAGCCTCTGATGCTTCAGATGCCTTAACTCTGAACACAGCGTTGTTAAATAGTCTTGTGCTTCTGTCTGTGGCGAAACGCTCCAGGCGAAAATGGTGAAATCTCGAGATGTGAACCTCGGTAGCCTGATGAACGCCTGATAGTATCGCGTGATAACGCTCGAAGCCACGATCAGCATAAATGATGGGTCTTCGTGTTCGTAAGTTACAGACGAAGCTGTTGGTTAAATCAGATGTACCAATAGAGGCTCCTGGCGAGGACATTGACCGGGTCAAAGAAACCAGAATCCATGGCGGCCAGCCTGTCATTGTCATTGCTAGTCGTTTGCTAGTCGTTTGTATGGCTGTGCTATTAATGTGCTGTACTTATCACGCCTATTTAATGAAGGTCCATTCGAGGTCAGAGAAGAGAGGTCAGAGAAGAGAGGTCAGAGAAGAGAGGTCAGAGAAGAGAGGTCAGAGAAGAGAGGTCAGAGAAGAGAGGCGAATAGAGGAAGGAAAGAAGACGAGATGCAAGAGCAGCCACACAAGGCACAGCGAACACACAACAAGGCACAGCGGGCGCACAACAAGGCACAGTAGGCGCACAACAAGGCACAGTAGGCGCACAACAAGGCACAGTGGGCGCACAACAAGGCACAGTAGGCGCACAACAAGGCACAGTAGGCGCACAACAAGGCACAGTGGGCACACCTCTTCCTTCTTCTGCAGGGCGTGCGTGCGGCTGGCAGGCGGGCCGTAGAAGCTGGGCATGTGCGCTGCAAACTGCCCTCCCCCGCTCATCCTCACCCCGTCCATCGCCTTCGCCAGCCGCCCCATCCCCATCCACCTCATCGCCCCCACCCCTCCCACCACTCCCGCTGCTGCTGCTGCACCTCCTCCTCTCGCCCTCCTCTCCCTCTCGCGCTCTGCCAGTCCCTCCCCCCCGCTGCTGCTGCCCACGTCAGCGCTGCGAGGGAAGGCCGTGCGCCCGCTGAAGCGCACGTGGATGTGCGCCAGCAGGCTGCCACCGCCGCCCCCAGATGCCCCCACAGATGCGCCTGCACCAGGTGCCCCCACCCTGGGCGTGGAGCATGCGCTCACCCCGGAGCTCAGCAGCGCACTGGGCGACTCCAGCGAGCCTTCCGTAGCCGATGGGGTTTCCGAGAGGTTCAGCAGCGGGATGGCGGCAGCTGGGGGAGGTGGCACCTGGCCATGCCCTGCCTGCCAGGGAAGCCCCTGCGCCGCTGCTGGAAACGACGCTGCTGCGGAAGCAAAGCGGTCTCTGGGCCCCCTGGGAGGCACCGCTGAGCTGTATCCTGAGGCATACCCGTCTGACAGCTCCTCTGGATGCACGCACGCATGAGCCTGGCCTGCTTGTAGAGGGGCCCCCCATGAGGTGCTGCCTGCGCTGCCCTCTGACACTCGCAAGGAGTGCGGCGGCTGGGGGGGCAGAGTTGACAGGGAGGGCGGGCCATGGCTTTGAGACGCCTCCGCACCAGGTGGGAAGCCATGTGGAGAGCCATCAGGTGGGAAGTCAGGTGGGACGGGTGAGAGGCGAGTGTGGGCAGCAGCAGGCGGGTAGGGCTCCCCTGCACCCACCGCACGGCTGTCGGCACCGAAAGCGTATGTGGGGAGGCTGACGGCCCGCGTGGGCAGACCAGAGAGGGAATCCGGCGGGTCAGAGGCAGACGAGCGCACACTGCCCTCCCTGAGGCTGCCCTCCCGCTGGATGACATCGAGCATGCCTTTGGAGCCGAGCCCCGACGCGGTGTACTGCGCGTCGTACTCGTGGCGCAGCAGCGGCAGCGTGTTGGAGGTGCGGCTATACATGCTCTCCCCAGCTGCGCGGTGCCGCAGGCACGCGAACACCGTGGCGTGAATGGCCGCCACGCTCTTGTCCATGTTCGTGTTGTTCACCTGAGAGAGGGGGGGGGGTGAGGGTTGTTGTGGGGGAGCAACAAGTCTTGAGGCCCTGGTTGCTACTGTCAGCAGGCAGGCGAACACCGTGGCGTGGATGGCCGCCACGCTCTTGTCCATGTTCGTGTTGTTCACCTGAGAGAGGGGGGGGGGTGAGGGTTGTTGTGGGGGAGCAACAAGTCTTGAGGCCCTGGTTGCTACTGTCAGCAGGCAGGCGAACACCGTGGCGTGAATGGCCGCCACGCTCTTGTCCATGTTCGTGTTGTTCACCTGCCGGGGGGGTGGGGGTAGAGCGGGGGAGGAGGGGAAGGAGGGGGGGGGGAGTTGAGGGTTGCTGTGGTGACCGTGGCGTGAATGGCCGCCACGCTCTTGTCCGTGTTTGTGAATGGCCGCCACGCTCTTGTCCGTGTTTGTGAATGGCCGCCACGCTCTTGTCCGTGTTTGTGAATGGCCGCCACGCTCTTGTCCGTGTTTGTGAATGGCCGCCACGCTCTTGTCCGTGTTTGTGAATGGCCGCCACGCTCTTGTCCGTGTTTGTGAATGGCCGCCACGCTCTTGTCCGTTTTGTGAATGGCCGCCACGCTCTTGTCCGTGTTTGTGAATGGCCGCCACGCTCTTGTCCGTGTTTGTGAATGGCCGCCACGCTCTTGTCCGTGTTTGTGAATGGCGGCAGCGGCAGGGGAGAAGCCGCCCCGCTCCCCCCACCCTCTTCCCCATCCATGCGCTCTTTCAGCAGCACGGATTTCACCCCGAAGACAATGTCCATGTGTTGAATCGAGTCGTGTTGTTCACCTGCGGTTTGCGGGTCCGGCACACCTTGGCCCGTGTGCACCAGGAGGATCTCAATTGCAGCCTACCATAAGAATGAGGTGCCTATCAGCTCGCCGAACGAGGTAATCCTGAATCGCCCGGATGTTGCGCATGTAGCGCATGTACTTGTTGTGAGAAGGGTCCACCATACTGCACCGCATGTACTGCACACACACCTTAGGGATCAGGTGCTTGTCGGCGCGGCGCACAAGGTAGTCCTGAATGGTGCGGATGTTGCGCATGTAGCGCACGTACTTGTTGCGCCGCGGGTCCAGCGTCATGTACTTGGCGCGCACCGCAAAGCGCTCCATGTGCTTCGCCTCGTTGCCGATGTAGATCACAAAGGGGATGATCGTGGGGTGCCGCTTCAACACCTCCATCTGCCATGGTATGGCATGGGGGATGGAGGTGACATGGGGAATACAGGGGTGAGCCACAGGGGGACATGGCGGCGCACGCCGCAAAGCGCTCCATGTGCTTCGCCTCGTTGCCGATGCTAATCACAGACGGGATTATGGTAGGATGCCGCTTCAACAGCTCCATCTGCCATGGTATGGTGTGGCATGGGGGATGCCTGTGTCGCACAGAACACAAATGCCATGTGTGTACGGCGTACGCTCCATGTGCCTCGCCTTGTTGCCAATGTAGATGACCAAGGGGATGACGCTCGGCTACTTTCAATAGCTCCATCTGCAACGGCATGGGGGAAACATGGACGTTGCAGGTCGCATGGGGGATGGAGGAGCCACAGAAAACAAACTCCATGTGCGTACTCCAAAAACTGCATGCCAGCCGGCACAAAGAAAGCAACGAGTGAGTGCAGGCATGCAGGCAGTGGGGGAGTGCATGGCACCACGACATTGAGGCTGAGGTAAACGCCCTCCACGATGGCCGGCTCGTTGAGTCGAGTCACAGGAGCTGTGCGTGAGTGCAGGTGTGCACGCAATGAGGGAGTGACAGCAAGAGTGTGCACCCTAAAGCGTATCACAAAGTTGAGCTGAGGTGAACGCCCTCCACGATGGCCATGTCTAAGTGACTAAAACGAGCTGTGAGTGAGCGCTGCTGGAGAGCAGGCAGTGATTGCAGGCATGCAGGCAGTGAGTGAGCACAGGCGTGAATCGTACCACGAAGTTGAGGCTGAGGTGAACGCCCTCCACCATGGCGGACTCATGGCAGCGCTCCCACTTGCACAACAGCTGCTCCACACTGCCTATCACCATCTCACTCTGCGCCTTGTACCCCTGAATCACCATCTCCCTCTCACTCACTCCCTCTCTCTCACTCACGACTTCCTTCTCACTCATTGGCTCCTTCCCATTCACAGCATCCCTCCCACTCTCCAAGTCTCTCCTACCCTCGTCACCTCCTTCCCCATTCCTCTCCCTCTCCAACCCTGTCACGCTCGTCCGCCCGTCCCAAACCGCCTCTCCCATCTCCCTCTCCTCCCTCCCACCCCCACCTCCCCCTGTCGTCACAGCTCCTCCCCCGCGGTTCCCTTCCCCGCCTACCCGCCCTTCCCCCAGCCGAACCCCCTCGTGTGAACCCACTCCTGCCTCTCCTCCCCTCTCACCAGAGCCCACACACACACCGCCCTGCATCTCTCTCAGCCCCACCTGCCCCCCAACCTCCCCAGCTGCCAGCCCCCTCTCCCGGCCGCCTTGCCAGTCTCGCTGTGCTGCTGCAGCCTGTGTGTCCGCCTGTGCGCCACTGTGCTTCCCTCCCAGCTTGCTAGCTTTCTTCCTCGCCTTGGCGTCGGCAACAGCGGTGGGGTCGAGGTGTTCGCCCGCCTGGTACGTGGAAGCGTACAGCAGCGGGTTGGCCTCACGACTGCTGAAGCCGCGCATCATGTGGCGCAGCGAGTCGGAAGAGACCACTATCGTGATGCCCAGCCGCGACGCCTGCAGGGGATTGGCAGGGGTGAGGGCGCGTGAGGTTAAGGGCGACAAGGGTCCTTGTGCACTTTGCAGCGAGTCCGTCGACACCCCTGTCGTCATGCCCAGCCGCGACGCCTGCAGGGGGGGGAGGAAAGCGGAAGGGAGAGAACGCAAGAGAGGAAGACGGTTTGCAAGGAGGAGATGTGGCAGAGAGCGTCCTGCTCTCTGCTGCTGAAGCCGCGCATCATGTGGCGCTGCGAGTCGGTAGACACCACTGTCGTGATGCCTGCAAAGGGGCGGATAGGAAGGAGCATTTGAAGAGGTGGGGGGGGAGGGGGGTGTGCTCTTCGCCGCTGCAGGCGCCCCCCCATGGTGCGTGTGTGTGAGCGAGCTGGTGGTCACACCGCTGTGATGCCCACCGGAGATGCACACGCGAAGAGGGATGGATGGCGGGCACACAGCAAAGGCAGAAAGGGGGGAAGGCGGATAGGCAGAGAGGGAGGGAAAGAAGGGGGCGGAGAGAGGGGAGGAGGGAAGGAGGGGAGGAGGGAAGGAGGGGAGGAGGGAAGGAGGGGAGGAGGGAAGGAGGGGAGGAGGGAAGGAGGGGAGGAGGGAAGGAGGGGAGGAGGGAAGGAGGGGAGGAGGGAAGGAGGGGAGGAGGGACGGAGGAGACAGGGAAGGGAAGGCAAGTGTGGTGCGTACCAGGAGGGAGGCGAGAGTGGACTTGCCACAGCCGCTGGCGCCACAGAGGAACACCGTCACTGACATCTTCCTCTCTCGCACCCTGCATGGCAGCAGCAGCAGCAGCAGCAGCAGCAGCAGCAGCAGCAGCAGCAGCAGCAGCAGCAGCAGCAGCAGCAGCAGCAGCAGCACAGGAAAGGGACTCAAAAGAACACCAATAACAGCACGCAATTCCACCACAACAGCAGTGACAGATCAAAAGAAACCAGTAGTCTTTACAGTGTGCACAGCAGTGCAGTGCAGCACCGCAGTGCGGTGCGGAGCGGTATGCAGGGTCTCGCTAGCAGGCGAGGGCGAGGTTGGGGCGCTGGCCGGCGCTGAGGTAGCGGTACTTACTCCGCCAAACCAGTGCAACAGTGCAGTGCAGTGCGGTGCATCACGGCGCAGAGCTCTCACTTGCAGGCGAGCGCGAGGTCGCTGCGCTGGTGAGCGCTGAAGTAGCGATACTCTGCGGGCGCCCGGCACACCACGTCCAGAAATGTGCTGCCCTTCAAAGACACGCTCACGCCCCTCACTGTGTCGCCCGCGCCCGCACTCGACCCCCCTGCTGCCGCCCTACTTTCTGCCCGCTCGTTATTGTCACGGCAACTGTGATTACATGGCTGGCGCTGGTGGCCAGAACGGCGCCAGAGTCTTCTCGGTTTGGCCTGGCAAATCGCTGGATGCCATCGGATCCGTTTGCCATGCGTGATCGGTGCGCCACGTCCGTCCGATGGCCGAAAACTCGCCGGCTGGTGACTTGCTGCAGCAGAATCTGAAAGACTCGCTCGCTGATCTGCGCGTGGTGTGGTGAGGTGAGAGAGAGGAGCGCAAGTGAGCGCAAGTAAGAGAGAGAGGATTGCAAACGAGAAGGCGAAACCAAAAGAACCGAGAACGTCATGGGAGCGGGACGAGGATACGTATGCGCAGGTCCCAATAGGTATGATTTGATCTCACGGGTCGGACTCATTTTGACGGCGTGGGTCTCACCTTGATGGCGTGGGTCTGACCTTGACGGCGTGGGTCTGAGCTGACCTTGACGGCGTGGGTCTCACCTTGACGGCGTGCCTTGACTTGCACCCCACGAGCTGCAGCGTGCTGGACAGCACCGACTTGGTGTAGCGCACCGCCGCACGCGGCGAGGACGGAGGAGCACGCGCGCCCTTTCCGCCTGTATCGCCTGCCTCGGCTGCGAGTTTACTACTCCCCGCGCGTTCCTCCTCCCCCTCGTCATCGTCCTCCACGAGTATGTACAGCAGCTTCGCCAGCACGCCCATCGCTGCTGCCGCACGCGTATGTGCTCCCGTCAGGGAGTGAAACGAGCGAATTTAACTCAGCCGTCCGACGTCACTAAGAGGGAAGAGGCTGGGTAATACGCGCAGAAGCTTCCGTAAGACGCGCATCACTCGTGCTGTAAAAAACCTTCGCGACTTTTACCACCTCCGCAGAAGATCAATTCGGGACACGATGGCAGGCAGCTACTAGTACACACGAGGTGGTGATCAAATGGGCTAAAGGAAGACTCGAGGAGCACGATTTCGATCACGAGGGCAAGAGAGGGTTCTACAAGTCGGAGGGAGGTGCAGCGTCGAAGAGAACGGCTTGATGCGTGACGGCTCGGAGCCTCGTGTGTGTGGAGGCGGTGCATGCTGCTGACGCCTGGCTGTCGCCATGGCTGCCGCGGATGCACCGCAGGCACACGGCAATTCCAAGGCGCAGAGATAGCCTAATAAGGGCGACGTCAGGTTGTACGACATTGTGCAACCTGACGTCGCCGTAAGGCGGCAATTTTCCGAGTAAAAATCAACCAGTTCGGTTCGTTTTACCTGTAGGGTGTGAGCTCTCTCCAGAATGGAACTTCTGGCAACTGTACTATTTGGATTACCGACGCGTCACAAGCACTTACGGATTCACGAAATGGGCCCCAATCATGCAACCCTGAATCGCCGGGAGCTTGGGAACCAGCGTCTGTATGCGAAGCGATTTTCACGAGCGTCGTTTGGCTTCGTCAGCCATCCCGAAGCAGCGCTGCTCGAAGCAGCACTGGCAATAGCCCACGAGAAAGTCATACCTCGTTATTGCGTTAAATGAACATTGCAAGCAAGTCTAAACGAGGAAATCCATGTGTCATTCAATCTAGTATTCTGTAGGTGGATGATGTGTTCAATGACCCAACTTGTGATGCATTACAGCACCGAAAGGACGCATTTCATGCTTTGCAGGACTATCATTGGCAAATATGATAGGTAGCTAAAAAATTGGGCTTCCCATATTTTAGGGTTGCAGCAACTGCTTTGGTATGGTGCAGTGTGGTGTGAACTTCTGCACCACACCTCATTCCATGTGCGCCATGCTCTCAGCCTTGCTGTTACACGCCACAGTGGTACAGTACAGGTTGGGTGGCTCTAGCACAAACGTCACACCGTATGCAGCCAGGTGCTCCATCAGCCCCGCATCCGGCACACTTAGCGGTGATGCATCTTTCATCGGCGGAACCGACTGGAAATACACTTCTTCTGGCTTAAGCGTTTTGTTTAGCGGCAGGTGGTGGTTGAAGGTGGGGAAGAGGGTGAGCGGCGGGGCGTCCAGGAGCTGCTGGGCGGTTGTAACGGCCGGGAAGGATGTGGTAACGCAGTAACCGGCACTGGTGCGTGGGGGAGAGGGTAGTCCAGTGGGAGAGGTAGCGCCAGTGACCCACGTTGGTGGGGACGAGCAGCGTGGCGTGGGCTGTGATGGGTTGCTGCCCGCCTTGCACTGCATGAGAGGAGATTGGTTGGGGGGAGGGAAGCAAGGGGAGGATGTTGGGAGGGATTATAGGAGGGGGTAGGAAGGTAGGATTGTGGGAGGGATTATATCAAGTTAGAAGGGAAGGTGCAGGTTGAAACAAATGCAGACATATAATTGAGATGTGCAGGCGGAAGGAAAAGCAAAACATGGAATCGGGATGCGCAGATGGGAAGAAACATGTACAAGCTCGGTGGAACGGAGGCGACTGGAGAGAAGGGGAGGGGATGCACAACGATGCTGTGTTCGGAACGGGCCGAACGAAAAGGGGCACGTGCGCACGTGCTTACAGAAATCGCTAAAAATGGCGGCGAACGAGGATAGCAACGCCTGCTGCGACACCTGCTGAAGAACAGACGCCGTTTCCGCTCGCCAGTCCGGCTCGCCTTACGCCTCTGCTCTTCGCGAACTCAGCACGGCGAAAGCAAGAAGCACGACGACGGCGCTGCTGGCAAAATTCACCAAAAGAGATTAACGATCAGCCATTGTGAACTTAACAAGCGCGGCGTTCCCACAGGATGATATTGTTAGAATCTAGCAGCAGGAATGGATGAACTCTGCAGCATGCAGAAGTACAAGTAGTAAACCCTAATTGGGTTGTACCCCATGTGGGCTACCCCACTACAGCCTACACAATATAGTTTGACACACCCCCATAGGCAAAGTGGGGGAGAGCAAGGGGTCACAAGACCAGTCAAGAGAAACAAAGCAAGCTCAGGGTGGATCACAACGTCACCACACACTCTGAGCACAAGTAAAGGCCACAAGGCCAGTTCACATGCAGAAGTATATATGCAACAAGAACAGCACAGTGATCTCTACCTAGCAAGAGCAAGCATGCAGGTATATATATATAGATCACAGTACAAGCAGAGTCTACAGCAAGTGTGGAAACGTAGGTACAAGGCCTAACAGGGTACAAAAGCGCTGATGATCACCAGACGAAAGCGCCTTGGTGAATATATCAGCAGTGTTGGCCCGGGTGGCCACGTGAGCAAGGCGAAGCTGACCCCGCTGCTGCAACTCTCGAGCCAGGAAGTAACGCAGAGCAATGTGCTTTGTTCTGTGCTCCAGTCTGTGCTCCTCGCACAAGGCAATGGCGGCCTTGTTGTCGACGTACAGCACTGGAGGAGAACGAGGCCGCTCTCCCAGGTCAGTCAGCAGGTAAGTGAGCCAGCGTAACTCCTGTGCAGCCATGGCAGTGGCGTAGATCTCAGCCTCACAACTGGAGCTGAGAACAGAAGACGAGCGAGTAGACGGAGCCAAGGCTGAAAGTGTAACCCTGCGACGACCGCTGTGTAGCCTGGTCGTCAACCCAAGAGGCGTCCAAGTGCCCAGTGAGAACCACGTCTCTCCGCCCTCCAAGCACAAGCCCCATGCCTGATGTACTGCACAAGTAGCGCAGTACCCTCTTCGCAGCATCCCAGTGCACCTTTCGGTGTCGACCAGGAGCCACGTAGCGGGCCAGAAGGCCAAGAGGGTACGCAAGGTCAGGACGAGTGCAGGTCATCAGGTACATGAGGCAGCCCACTAACTCTGGGTAAGGACCACTCGGCTCTACGGACTCGTCCGAAGGTGGAGCTGAGAGCGAGTGACCTGTAGCCAGAGGAGTGGACTGTGGCGAGGACCAGGTGAAGCCGAAGCGCTGAAGGACCTGCTGCACCATGTGTGACTGAGTCAGAGTGATGGTGCGGCGTGCTCTGTCCCGGGTGATCTGCAAGCCAAGGTAGCTGCGCAGCTCACCCAGGTCTGTGCACGTGTATCTCTTCTGCAGCTCCGACTTCACAAGGGCGAGAGCCTCAGTGTCAGCAGTGACAAAGACCAAGTCGTCGACGTACACTAGGATGTAGAACGGCGGCAGCGAAGTGTTGGTGCGCAGAAACAGTGACGGGTCAGCAGTCGAAGGAGCAAACCCAAGAGCCGCAAGTGTAGTCCTCAGTGTAGTCCTCACGAGGCGCCTGGCGGAGACCGTAGACTGGCCGCCGGAGGCTCCACTGGGTACCAGGCGGGAACGACCCAGTGAAGCCAGGTGGGCGGCGCAGCCAGATCTCCTCGTGCAGGCTGCCCTGTAAGAACGCTGTGCTGAAGTCAAGGGAGTGAAGCTCGTAGTCACGCTGAGCGGCAATGTGCAGCAGCACCCGAAGTGTGGTCATCTTCGGGGTGGGGGAGAAGTTCTGGAAGAAGTCGACTCCCTCTTGCTGACTGAAGCCTCGAGCAACGTAACGAGCCTTGAAGACAGGCGGAGAACCTGGCGGCCGCTTCACCCTGAAAATCCACATGCCATCAACGATGTTCGCCCCTGGAGGGGGAACCTCATCGACGTAAGTGCCTGTGGACTTCCAGGATGCCATCTCTGCGTCCATGGCTGCCTGCCACTAAGAGGAGTAGGGGCCCGCGATCGCCTCAGCGTAAGAGCGCGGGGTCGGGATGTCTATAGCATCCGGGTCTCCCTCAGGGGCAAGCAGCATGGCCACGAGATGAGGCGCAGTGGCCGCAAGACACTCAAGGTCCTCCTGTCTGTCCTCAAGGACGTCCGTGCCAAGAGCACGCTCACCCTCGATGGACGAAGGACAGACAGACTCAGACTCAGCAACTAGACTGGCAGCGTAGTCTAGACGACAGGCAGCAGCAAAGTCGACAAGCTCAGCGACCAAGGCAGACGCAGCAGCAGACTCAAACGACGGGTCAGTAACAACAGTGGCTAACAGACGCGTGACTGTAGGGTGCTCAGTACGAAACCGGTCAGACGCAGGGTCCGCAACGTCAGGCAGAGAGGACGCAGGAGGAGACGGCAAAGGAACAGACTGCGGAGTAGAGAAAGGATGACGGACGACGAGGTGCGTGCCTGGGACAGCCGGCGAACGCGGACGAGGAACACGACGACTGGTACGACCAGAACGAACAGGCGAGACAGGACGTGACGCAGGCTCACGACGCTCAGTAAGACCTCCTGCCTGCTCAGTGTAAGGGGAAGGAGCAGGCAGCGGTGAGCCAGGCTGTAACGAAAGACCAGTAGAAGACGGGAGGCTGAGAACCTGACGAAGTACAGTGTCAGGCGGTGGCTGAGACGACGGAGACGGTGGAGCGAAGAACAGTCGCGGGGGTGCAGTGCCACCAGCACCAGCAGCTCCAGTACCTCCAGCAGCTCCAGAACTCCCAGCGCCAGCACCTCCAGGACCAGCTCCACCAGCAGCAGCACCCCCAGACCCAGGGTCTCCAGCCTCAGTGTCTCCAGCAGTAGCACCCGCAGGCTCAGCACCTCCAGCCTCAGCAGCTGCAGTACCGCCAGTACGAGCACCTCCAAGACCAGCAACTCCAGCACCTCCAGTAGACAAAGGACCAGTACCACTCCCAGCTCCAGCAACGTCAGCAGCAGCACCTCCAGCGGCAGAACTCCGAGCTCCAGAAGCGCGACCCTGACGGCGACCGTACCAGTCGTGGAGCTGCTGTGACGTGAGAGGCACACGCGGACGAAGGCGGCTACTCCAAGGAGACTGCGCAAAAGCAGAATCAGAACCCTCAGCGCCAGCACCCGCAGCAGCTCCAGAACCTCCAGCGCCAGCACCCGTAGCAGCTCCAGAACCTCCAGCGCCAGCACCCTCAGCAGCTCCAGAACCTCCAGCTCCAGCGCCACCAGCGCCAGCACCTCCAGCAGCTCCAGAACCTCCAGCGCTAGCACCCTCAGCAGCTCCAGAACCTCCAGCTCCAGCGCCACCAGCGCCAGCACCTCCAGCAGCTCCAGAACCTCCAGCAGAAACAACTCCAGTAGCAGAGTCACAAGCTCCAGCGCCTCCAGCAGCAGGGCCCCTAGCTCCAGCAGCGCGACCCTGACGGCCAACGTACCACTCACGCAGCTGCTGTGGG